CGGGCAGAGCAGTCGGGCGCGCTAGCAGCAGGGCAGCACGCAGGCAGGGCAAAGCAGGGCGGCGGCCAGCAGGGTGGCGTGCAGGCAGATCAGGGCAGGGCGGCAGCCAGCAGGGCGGCACGCGGGCAGGGCAGGGCAGCGCGGCGGCGAGTGGCGCTCAGGCAGGGCAGGGCGGCGCGGCGGTGAGCGGCGCGCGGGCAAGGCAGGGCACGCGGCGGCGAGCAGCGCGCGGGCAGGGCGGCGGCGCTGCGGCGAGCGGCGCGCTGGCAGGGCGGCGACGCGGCGGCGAGCAGCGCGCGGGCAGGGCGGCGCGGCGCGGCGAGCGGCGCGCGGGCAGGGCAGGGCGCGCGGCGGCGAGCAGCGCGCGGGCAGGGCGGCGCGGCGGCGAGCGGCGCGCGGGCAGGGCAGGGCACGCGGCGGCGAGCAGCGCGCGGACATGGCAGGGCGCGCGGCGGCAAGCAGCGCGCGGGCAGGGCGACGCGGCGCGGCGGCGAGCGGCGCGCGGGCAAGGCAGGGCAGGGCGTGCGCGGGCGGCGCGACGCAAGGCAAGGCGTGCGCGGGGCAGCGCGACGCAGGGCAGGGCAGGGCAGCGCGGCGCTAACAGGGCGGCGCGACGTGTGTGGTAGCGCGATTCGGTGGGCCCTAAAAAAAAAAACCGGTCCTAGGAGAGGACCTGCTCTGAAACCATGTTAGAAACTAAGGAACAGGAATAACGAAACTCTTACAGTACTTCTTGTGTGCTTGTGTTGTGCTATGCTGACGTGGCAGGCTCGGCCAACGGTGTACATGATAATGCGAGATATGATCGAGTTGATGGGATATGAGGTGAGGTGGTGGGATGTTATTATCGGGTGCCACTATGGAATGTTCGGTGAATTGATTGGGATGTGAAATGGTTCTCTGGTGCTGTGGCTGTCGAATGTTTATGTGATTCACAAATCCAACCCAGTCGGCTTAGCTGCTGCTTTCCAGTTTTTTTTCAACACCACAAACTGAAGTTTTCACGTCCGTCCGTCCGCCCGTCCCGTCATCCCCCTGTTTCTGCCTGCAGATCAGTTTGATTCGCATCACCCATCGAGACTGGGATGCCTACTGTGCCCGGGCCTACCTATCCAAGGTCAGTCCTGCATTTTTTTAGACGCCTCTGTAGTTCAGTCTGGTGCTTATCTCCATCTCCCATTGGTGCGCATCTCCCATTGGTGCGCATCTCCCATTGGTGCGCATCTCCCATTGGTGCGCATCTCCCATTGGTGCGCATCTCCCATTGGTGGGCATCTCCCATTGGTGCGCATCTCCCATTGGTGCGCATCTCCCATTGGTGCGCATCTCCCATTGGTGCGCATCTCCCATTGGTGCGCATCTCCCATTGGTGCGCATCTCCCATTGGGGCGCATCTCCCATTGGTTCGCATCTCCCACATACTTCCCCCAGGCCTCATACGCCACCTTTTCCTGCTGAGAATTGCACAGCCAGCAGCTGCAGCAGCAGCAGCAGCAGCAGCAGTGGGCCTGCTATGATAAGCCTGGACATGCGTTGCAACCATCTGAAGCTGATTTGGATCTTTCCACTTTTCCTCAACTCCCATTCTACCCGCTGGTGCAACAGGTTCCTTCTGATAGTAACACAGCCACCAGCAGCAGCAGCGGGCCTGCAATGATGAGTATGGACATGCGTCCATCAGATGCCATCAACCTAGCAGCACGCACCAAGGTGGGTGATTATAACGACGTGCGTGCGTGGGACTAGTGGGGTCTGTTACGATAAGAATGAATTGATAGAAAATGTGAAGTACAACCCTAGATATAGCAAACCCTAATCATGCAAGTAAGTAGAAACGTAACACCTAGACTAACCTAAACAACACATATAAAATATATGTTGACACACCCCCATAGTCTAGGTGACGGAAGTCCTGTAGAAACAACAAGAGCAAGCAACGGTCACAAGACCAGTCTACAAGAACAAGACAAATCTCAGGGTGGAGCTCAAAGTCACCACACACTCCGAGAGCAAGCAAGGGGCCACAAGGCCAGTCCACATGCAGGTATATAGCAAATATAAAGAGATGCAAGAGTACAAGACATGCAGAACAAGGCATCTCTAAGCAAGCAAGTGAGGACGGGCAGGCACAAGGCCAAGCTGGGTGCAGAAACGCTGGTGGTCACAAGGCGGCAACGCCTTGGTGAAGATATCTGCCGTGTTTGCCTCAGAGACCACACGTCGAACGAGTGCCTGTCCACGCTGCTGCAACTCACGCAGAAGGAAGTAACGAAGCTGGATGTGCTTCGCCTTCCCAACCAGTCGGGGCTCCTCACACAACAGGACAGCAGACCTGTTGTCGGCGAACAAGACTGGGGGAGAGCGAGGCCGCTCACCAAGGTCGGTGAGAAGGAAAGACAGCCAGCGAAGCTCCTGAGCGGCCATGGCCGCAGCGTACACCTCTGCCTCACAGCTGGAACCGGCGACAGACGACGCCCGAGTCGACCGCCACGAAACAGCACCTGCCCCGAGGCTAAAGGAGTACCCCTGTGTAGACCGACGCGTCTCCGCGTCGTCGGCCCACGACGAGTCCGAGTAACCTGTGAGTGTAACTGGCTGCTTCCCTCCAAGGACAAGTCCCATGCCTGATGTACTCGCCACATACTTCGCCACCCTCTTAGCAGCGTACCAGTGGGAAGGTCGGTGTCTCCCAGGCGCAACAAAGCGCGCAAGGACGCTAAGAGGGTAAGCTAGGTCTGGGCGAGTACAGGTCATCAGGTACATGAGACAACCCACCAGCTCAGGATATGGACCACTGGACTCAAATGACTCGTCCGAAGGTGGAGCCGTGAGCCCATGATCCACACCAAGAGGGGTGAGCTGTACCTTGGAGAACGGGAAGCGAAACCGCGTGAGGATCTGCTCGACCATATGCGACTGAGTCAGCGTAATGGTGCAAGCTGCCCTGTCCCTGGTGATCTGCAGGCCAAGGTAGTGCTGCAGCTCACCAAGGTCAGTGCAAGTGTGTCTCCTCTGCAGTTCCTCCTTCACGGAGGCCAGCGCGCGTCGGTCGGGAGTGGCGAACACTAGGTCGTCGACGTAGACCAGGACAAAGAACGGGGTCGAGCCACGGCGAACGAACAGAGACGGGTCAGCAGACGACGGAAAGAAGTCAAGAGCTGCAAGGGTCGAGCGAAGTGTGTCGTGCCACTCACGTGGGGCCTGACGCAGGCCGTAGACTGGTCGACGCAGCTGCCACTGGGTCCCAGGTGGGAAAGAGCCAGTGAAGCCAGGCGGGCGACGCAGCCAGATCTGCTCGTGCAGGCTCCCCTGAAGGAACGCGGTGGAAAAGTCCAAGGAGTGCAACTCGTAGTCGCGCTGGGCTGCAATATGCAGCAACACCCGAAGAGTACTCATCTTCGGGGTGGGAGCGAAGGTCTGGAAGAAGTCCACCCCCTCTCGTTGACTGAAGCCTCTCGCAACATAGCGTGCCTTGAACACAGGTGGTGATCCAGGCGGCCGCTTCACCTTGTAGAGCCATCGGCCACTGACGACATTCGTCCCAAGTGGTGGGACTGCGTCGACGTAAGTGCCTGTGGACCTATAAGATGCCATCTCTGCCTCCTCAGCTGCTATCCAGTACGAAGCCCAGGGTCCCGAGACCGCCTCGGCGTGAGTGCGAGGGATCGGGATGTCAAGGGCGTATGGATCCCCCTCACGGGCAAGCAGCATGGCGCAGAGATGAGGAACAGCGGCCGCAAGAAAACCAAGCTCGAACTGCCTGTCCTCTACGACCTCCAGGGGAAAGACAGGAGCACCCCCAGAGGACGGAGAACGTGCAGGGCCACTCACCAAGTGAGCGGCGTAGTCAAGGCGGTGGGAAGAGGCAAAGCCAGAGACAGTGGTAACAAGTGCTGAGACAGACGACAGAGGTGCAGTCGGGTGAGTGACCAACGCGGACAAAACACGGGAGACAACAGGACGGGACGGCTGATCCCGGGTGAGGTGCCTGGAACGGGTGGGGCAGCAGTTGTCAGGTCTGGGGCGGCGGTTTTCAGGTCTGGGGCGGCGGGTTTCCAAGTTCGGCGGCGGTTTTCAGGTCTGTAATGGCGGGTTTTCAGGTCTGGGGGGCGGTTAAGACGGTGGGCTGCACGTGCGCGCGGCCGCGACGTACTAGCGCGAAGCTGCGGGTGCGACTAAGGCTGCGCGCGCAGCTACGCGCGTTCGTCTGCTGCGCGCTAGAGGGCTGGGGGGAAACGCGCGGGGTAAAACGAGTGAGGCGCGGGGCAGAAAACGAGTGACGCACGGCAAAAACGGGTGGGGCGCAGGGCAGAAACGGGTGACGCGCGATGTCGACGGGGGGGCGCGACCTACTCGGGCTCTACGGGGCAGGGCGCTTCGGGCTATGGGTCGCTACGAGGCGCGCGGGTGGTGGGCCCATAGACTATCAAGAGAAATTTCGCCTAAGGGAAAAAATCGCCTAGGGGAAAAATCGCCTAAGGGAAACCTAGCTCTATACCATGTTACGATAAGAATGAATTGATAGAAAATGTGAAGTACAACCCTAGATATAGCAAACCCTAATCATGCAAGTAAGTAGAAACGTAACACCTAGACTAACCTAAACAACACATATAAAATATATGTTGACAGGGTCGTTGCGGTGAGATACGGTGGCAAAGAATGGCATATACAGCAACATGAATGGCAAGAACCAGAATTAGTGAAGAATCAGTGCAGTGGCATGGGCAGGGAGCGGGGGCAGGGACAGGAGGCAGGGGGTAGGGGGTAGGGGGCAGGGGGCAGGGGGCAGGGGGCAGGGACAAGAGGCAGGGAGCAGGGGGCATGGCCGTGGGACTGGGGTTGGGGGCTCGGCAGGTGGGGGCTAGGGGCAGGAGGCAGGGGCGGAGGGCAGGGGAAGGGTGCAGGGGCAGGTCTTAGCTTGGACACAGGCTTGCAGGCGTTCAGGCTTACCGCTTTTTCTTGCTCTTCTCAACAGGATGATCCCATCCTGCATCTCTATGATCCATTGCATCAGGCGCTTATTCAGGTGTGCTGTGCCTCTGTTATTTCAGGTGCCCATTCAGGTGCGGAAATCCCTGGCGGTGGCGGACGGAGTGCGGATAGTGGGGATGGTTCGGTCGGCAGTGGCACCCGGACACGGCGGGCGGCTGCTGAGACGGCAGCAGAGAGTGGTGCTGACGTCAGAGGACATGTGAGTGGATGCATGCTGACGTCAGGGCATAAGGTGCTGCTCAAGTTTAAGATAATAAGAGGCGTGTAGATGATTGTAGGCTCAGAAGTTGTGTTTGGTTGGTAAGAATGGTGTGGACTGTGTGGGGATGGTGCGAGTTGTACGGGAATGGTGCAGATAATGGAATGGGGATGGTGGGGATGGTGTGGTGCGGACTGTGTGGGGATGGTGCGAGCAGCAGTGGCACCTGGGCATGGTGGACAACTGCTGAGACGGAAGCAGAGAGGTGCTGACGTCAGAGGACAAGTAATAGTGGGATGCTTACGTCAGACCCCTCAGAGGAACAAGAGGCCAAACAAAGCAGAACTAGGTTTCATCTTCGTTCCCTCTCTCCTCGTCCTCTCCCTCCTCATCCTCTCTCCCTCCTTCCCGCCCACTTCCCCCCAGGTCAGACATGGAGGACCTATCACTGGCAGACGAGTTTGCGTTGGTGAGGCTGGTGGAAGAAGCACCACAGCTTTAACCAATGCAACCAACTCTGCACTCTCCTTGTTTCTGTCTCTTTCTCCCTTCCGTTGTTCGCTTCCCCCCAGGCCTGACCTGGAGGACCTATCACTGGCAGACGAGTTCGCGCTGGTGAGGCTGATGGAGGAAGCAGCACAGCCTGAACGAATAGAACCAACTCCGCACCCTTTTTGTCTCTCTCTCTTCCCACCCCTCTCCTCGTTTTGTCTTCCGCAGGCCTGACCTTGAGGACCTATCACTGGCAGACGAGTTCGCGCTGGTGAGGCTGATGGAGGAGGCAGCACAGCATGCTAGTGCAACCAACTCTGCACCCGAACACTATCGCTGTGTCTCAATCGTCTCCCTCTCTCCTCCTCATTCACCTGTTCGCAGGCCTGACCTCGAGGACCTATCACTCGCGGACGAGTTCGCACTGGTGAGGCTGATGGAGGAGGCAGCTCAGCACGAACCAGTCCAACGACCTCTGCGCCCTCTTTATTTCTCCTTTTGACCCTCCTTATCCTCATTCGCTTCCTCAGGCCTGATCTGGAGGACCTATCACTAGCGGACGAGTTTGCGCTGGTGAGGCTGATGGAGGAAGCAGCACAGCACGAGCGGTACGGCGATGCGGCGAAGATTAAAGACCAACTGATGAAGCTGCGACGGAGAACCAACAAGGTGAGAAGAGGAGATTGAGAGAGGTAGGAGAGGGAATAGGGTGGGTGAAGGCTTGAAGGAAAAAGAGGGGGAATGAGGAGGGGTGTGGGGTGGTGGAGGTGTAGTGGGATATAATGGGAAGGTGTAGTGGGATATAATGGGAAGGTGTAGTGGGATATAATTAAGCTGTGGCTGTCTGAAGTGGCAGCAAGGCTTTGTTTTATGGTTCTTTAGCTGCCCAGAATCTTATGATGTGTACGAGTCACATGACATGACACCCACCCACAAGCAGGCCACAGTCATGCATGACATGACAACACTGCTTGATGCGTGCATGAAGCAGTGTTGCGTGTTGAACCATGAATCCTAACCCCTTATCTCCCACCACCATCTGTTGTTTCGTCCCTTTTATTGTTCCCTGATACGTCGCAGGTGTAGAGCTGTCCGTTTGGCTGCTACAGTGGCACTGGGAAGATGGGGGGTGCGCCCTGCCCTCTGTACATTAGGGGTAGCCCCTCTTTCTCTACCTACCTACATCAAACATGTGTTGTCTATGTGCATTTTTCCTAATAAGGGCTTGCTAAATAGTTTGTGTGTTTTTCCTTCAGAACAGAACGCATGTATAGTGCTTGTGGTACCGGCATGTGGGCCAATAATGTGTGTACATTCGTCTTGATATTCTCAGCTGTTCTGTTTTGAGGAAAACCGAAACGAGGAATTTCTTTCTTACAGTGCTCGCCTTGTGATGTAATATGCCTGGCTATTTCTACCAGAACGAGGAGTTAGTGTTTTACCTCGCAATAGTGCATACTTGAGCAATTGTGATATGAAGCTGCTTGGCACATAGTGTATGCTTACAAAATGTAATGGTTCTTTTGACAACACATCTGCTCTACATTTGCCAACTCCCTTTTCGCCCATTTCTCGCTTTTCTACTCCCCGACTTGTTACTGTATCGGGAAACTTGTCGATTCTTGGCGAAGTGGGCAAAATCGGAGCCCTTGCATCCCTGACTATTTTCTCTGGCCAAGAAGCCTGCAGACAGCGACCGCTGATGATCACTCGTACGGGTTCAGCGGCGGGTGCGGATGCTGATTTCATAGTTTCGTAGCAAGTTAGTGTTGGTCGCGAAACGCCACTCCCAGGACGGACGCGACCGCTACGAGGCCTTCGCGGGGCCTTAACGTGACCCTGACGGGCCCTCGGCTCGTTTTCTGCTTCACGCGCCCTTCACGGGGCTTTCACGGAACCTTCACGGGCCCCAAACTCGAATTCTGCAGCTTCGGTACTTTCCTAGGCCTTCACGGGCCTTTGACGGAAGTTTCACGGATGAAACTCGAATCTCTAGGCTTGACTTAGCCAAAACGGAACTTTGACGGGAACTTCTCTCCAACACTAGAAACCTTCGACCAATCAGATTTGAACACAAATTCCAACCGAGGGATTCCAATTGTGTTGCAATTGTGTTGATTTCCAATGCCTACTACAGACTGATTTATAGCCTAACCAAAGCACACACACAAATTGGTAACAAAACGTGTTTCACAAGCAAACCCTTGCCCACGTTTCACGTCGCGTCGCACACGCAACCACCCCAACTTCGTCGAACACTCCCAAAGTCCGAATTTCAGAAACTTGTTGAACACGCCTCGGGTTCCTTGTTGAACACTCAACTTCCCAACCAATCAAACCTTCCAATCAATTCCTTTCCCGTCACTTCTTCACTTTTCTTCCACTAGTCAAACTTCTTCCTCACACCTTCTTCCATACTTCTCTCGTATTTCTCTTGCCGTAAACCACGCTCCTAAGCAACGTCGTAGCTTCCTTGCTTGTTCGTTCGATGCTTTCAACACGCCACCTCCAAACCGTCGGTCCGCCTTTTTTTCCGCCGTCATTAGTCCTCCTGCCGTCGTTAGTGTGGTTCGTAGAAACCACTCCAACAGTTAGTAGTAACATACATCCGAAAAAAGCAGGGGGGCAAATGTGTTGACAAGTATTGGGATCTAGAAGCTACTAAGCACACCTTTAATTCGCTCTTAGTAGTCCCCACGGGGTCACCTCCAAGGGTCCTCGGGTGCCTGGCAAAGCCAGCCCCTAACCAAGGGTCCGTGGTTGTAGAGGGACACACCAAGTACAAAAGAATCGTGTGTAATAGAGCTCTCCCAACAACTCCTTGCGCAGCGTTATGACGACGAATTGGTTGTGTGCAGAAAGTTCTCTTCACGTCAATACGATGATAGAGAAAAACTTCACTCAAAAGGATTGATTGCAACTTCGCATAAGCACACAATTTATATGAAAGCCTACGCACACACAAAGGAAACACAAAGCAGTTGTTTAACTAGACTTTAGGACTTCGCCAGATGCGCCAAGGAAAACGGTTGTCGAACTGCTCTTGAGTTTGGCTTGATTTGCCCCGTCAAAATAACTGTCTTCAAACTGCACTCCTGCCAAAACCCCCTGCTGACTCCCTTCGCGAACATTCATGATCTCCCATGCGCTATCATGAATGCTCGTGTGGGATTACCGTTATTTCACGAAGCCTTACAGTTACTTTACGGTTTTTCACCGTTTTCCCCTGTATCGAAATTGTCCCGTTAGGCGCGCGCCATTTCTCGCGAAATTACCTGTAAGTCGAGTCAACGCGGGATTCAGTTATTCAACCGAAATCCCGAGCACCCCTTGACCGCAATCATGCACGACCGATATTTCGGTCGTGCTGTACAGTTCGCGGACATGCGCTGTCCTGCGCGTGGGCAGGGCGATCATTCGCCCTGTCCTGTTGCGATCGTGGGCCCTGCCACGCCCGCAACAGTGCGAGGCACACTCTCTGGCCTGAGGACCAACACGCGCGAAATCAGGACCACACACGGTCAAGATTCTCGCGCGCTTAACCTTTGACCAGCACGAAAAATATCCTCGGTCAACTTGTGAACACTCACGGCATTTCATGAACACACACGAAAAACAGAAACACATGAACTTACATGAACACACATAAACCTTCATGAACTGCTCACGAAACTCACAGAATTTCACGAACACATGATTCACGCATCCTCGACAACTCACGAAACAACGCAAACGCACACGAAGTCTCGCATTCGCTCGCGGACTTTCACGAACACTTAGGAACGCAACCTCTCACGAAAACGCACATAACTCATGAACCGTTGAGACGATTCACGAGCCGTAAACACTCAAACGTAAAGCACGAAAATGCGCAACTCACACACAACAAATTACCTTCAGAACAAACACCTCACTTTCACTCGACGTCGACGAATAGGTGGTAGGTTGTCGTGCAAATCATGTATTGCACTCAACAAACTCCCCCACAACCTGCCGACTATTCGAACCCACATTCGTTACTCACGGACTCGACAACACCCTTCACCACTTCCATCACTGGCTCAAGAGATTTTACATCCTTGCCCAACAGCTCCCCCTTTTCATCTGACTCCAGATTTTCACGGTCGATCAGCTCCATCCCATTGCCAATCCCAACACCAGTTTTAGGGAAGGCAATCTCACTCTCCGCAATAATTTCTGCTTCCACATCATCTGCTGCAACCATTTGCAGCTTCACCGAAGTATTGCCGCTATTCCCCGTAGTAGTTTCAGCACCCTTCAAACCCAAGTCCACATTAGGTTCTCCAAACACCTTGGTCGCATCAGCTTCAGTGCTTGTCACATTCAGCACCAACGGCTTCTCCTTAGCAGCCTCACTCTTCGGCTGCACCATGACTTTAGGTTTCTGCTGCTCATGAGTGTCACTCTTGTGCACTCTCTTCTCCTTCACCACAGCAGCAGCCTTGCCTTCGTTCCCCTTGGTTCCTGCACCGATTTTCTGATCAGCACTTGCTGCATTTCCCTTTTCAGACGCTACGAGTCGAGCATTCACCTGCTTCAACTGTTGCACCAGCATCTCCACTGTCACCTTCAACTCCTTGATCGTTTCAGCAGCCACCATAGCGCACTCCCCCTTGCAGCTGCAAATTCCATTTTGCATCTCATGTATCACTTCCTTCCATGGCACCACGGGCACATGCCACAGCTCGTCATGCAGGTCCTTCTCCTTATGCAAGTCCCACAACACTCGGTCACCACGACGCCCTTCGAAAGTTTCAGCTCCACTGGTCGACGTGCACACCCCTGCAAGTCCCATCTTCCGCAAAGAGATTAGATTTCCCTTCAGCTCCGGCACTAAGAGCACCTCTTCCAAGACGATCGGCTTCCCATCAGCTCCCTTGAAGGCTGCCTTGCCGACTCCCAACACTTTCATCTTGTGCCCGCATCCGGAATGCATTTCAGAGACACTCGTTTTCTCAATCCCATCTAGCAGGTCCGCCCTTGGGGTCATGTGTTTTGCTGCTCCGGAATCTAGGATCCACGTGTTAAGGGGAGGAGGCTCCGCTCCCTTCTTGGCGGATGCCTTCTCATCTCCCCTATTCCCTTGCACGTGGAAGAACTGTCCAGGAGCTCGTTCCCAACCTTGTTCCCCTTCCATTGCGGTCTCTGCTACATAACCAACGCCATGCTGTTGGTTCTTCTTTCGGTCATCACCCTCATATCCGGGAGTCCACCCTTTGGGTCGCTTCCAGCATTTCACCCATGTGTGTCCCGGCTTATTGCAATACCAGCAGGTTCCCTTGAACCCTTGGTAGCCACCGTGCTCATCTTCTTCCTCATCATCACTCGTACTCCTTTGGTTTCTGTTGTCACGTCCCTTTTCGAGCCGTCCACGTTCACCTTGACCGCGGCCCTTGCGCCACCTACTCGCTTGAATGCCATAGCCGCCATCTCCGTCTTGATTCAAATTGAACTGCCGCCTCCTGAAGTCTTCCTCCAGGA